AGCTCCTTCGAGCGGGGTTGTCGAAGCAGCGGCGTCATGGGCCGCTACAGTAGCCGCAGCCGCTCCCGTGGCGGAGGACGTGGTGGCGGAGGCGGCGGCCGGGATCGCATCCAGCAGATGGTAGACGAGCGGGAAGCGCTCCGCCGCGACCGCGACTATGACAAGGCCGACAGGCTCCGCGACGAGCTGAAACGCATGGGCGTGAACATCGACGACACAGACAACACATGGCGCGGCCCTGACGGCATGGGGGGTGACGTCAGGAAGGGTGGTGGAAAGGGAGGCGGTGGCGGTAGCTATGGAGGCGGTGGAGGGCGCGGAGGTTACGTCGATGACCGCGGCGGAGGACGTGGTGGCGGCGGCGACCCAGACCGCATTCAGCAGATGGTGGACGAGCGGGAAGCGCTCCGCCGCGACCGCGACTACGACAAGGCCGACAGGCTCCGCGACGAGCTGAAACGCATGGGCGTGAACATCGACGACACAGACAACACATGGCGCGGCCCTGACGGCATGGGGGGTGACGTCAGGAAAGGTGGCGGCAAGGGCGGCGGTGGTGGCAGCTATGGAGGTGGCGGAGGGCGCGGAGGTTACGACGATGGGCGCGGCAGCCGCTACGACAACAGCCCACCGCGCCGGGGCGGCAGGGGTGACGATCGCGATCGAGGCGGGCGCCGTGGTGGCCGAGACTACTCCGAGAGCCCGCCTCGTCGTGGCGGCCGGTACTGAGAAGTGATTATGACGATAACCCAGCTTGCGCAGTTGGCATGGTTCGGTAGCAAATCATTGGAGCCTTGTGTACCCTCCTAATTCCGTCTCTAGAGTGCACTTGCGTCGATAAGCGTCTGGTAGTCGATGGGATAGCGCCGTCGACTCAGCGTCGATCAGCGTCAATTTACCGAGCGTCGGTTTAGCGTCGATTAGCGTCCACTCGCGTCCACTCGCGTTCATTTGTGTCGGTTCAAAAGAGCCAGCGAGATGGTATGGGAGGCTCCCATGAGTTGCCACCGAAGGTCGAGGGATGCGTAGGGCAAGTATTCTTTCTTGCAATGGTTTTGCGAGGCATGCGGGTGTGGCAGGGGTGGTGTTGGAAGCGACCGTTCTCACTATTTGGCGGCGACGGTTCCAGAGCACCGCGAAGTTTCTCGGTTGTGCTGGTAGACAAAAAGTGGGAGGCTCCCACGCGGCCCCTAAGAGGTCCCCGAGATGCTGCCGAGCGGTTCCCGAGCGGCACCCAAGCGGCCCCCGAGAGGCCCTCAGCAGACTGCGCTTGGAGGGAAGGATTCCATTCGTCTTGGGTGAGGTACTTCCGTCTCGGGCCCGGCGGTGGCGCATTCGTTAGTTCGTCGAGGCGAGGTTGATGGTCAGTTATTTTCCCGCGACAGTGTAGCTATCCACCGTTTGGTGTTGGGCTCTTTATCCAGCGATTCCTTGTGAGTGCGCATCGCTGCGTCTGGCGCGCAGCACCGCGTTCACGACGGCCGAACGGCGCTGTGCGCGTACGCTGCGGCGGCTGCTGCTCATCAACGTTGTCTTTTGTCGATCAGGTATCCGTAGCCTCAGCTGTCGTAGTTGAGCCTCAGTGAGGGTGTGAGGGTTCCATGCCAAGTATCTGATGCGTCCCTTTTTCCCTCCCTTCCTTGGAGGTGGGGACTTATTCACAACCACCGTCTGGGGGATCGATGTTCAGTGACCTCGGCAGGCGGCTGATATGGACCCGAAAATGAAGATGGATATGGATATGGATCTATATATATATATATATATATATATATATATATATCTGTAATATATACTATATATATATATATATAGATTCGTGTCTTGGGGGTGGCACATGTGTCTCTATCCACCGCCTGCCGAGGTCCCCGAAGCTCGATCCCCCAGGTGGTGGTTGCGGAGAGATCCCCAACTCGCAGTTTCGGGCCGCACGAAAGGGTAGACTAGGGAAATGGGGGGGACGAAACCTGCTGCATGCAGCTGGTTTCCGCCCCTTCGTCGGGCCCATTCCTTGATGCATGGGCGCCTCCCAGCACCAGGAAAACCAGCTACGTGCGCTGACTTTCTACCCTGCCTTAGTGGGCCCCAGAAACGGCAGGGCCGTTGTTTCACCGTTTCCGAAAAAAGTGTCTCTTGAAAATGGAAGCGGCACAAAAAACTGCGACAGGAAACGGCCAAAACATGGCTCCAGGATTGGGGCCGGAGCCAGGAACGGCAACAACCGGCGACGGAAGCGGTCACAAAAACGGCGTCGGAAGCGGCAGCAGAAGCGGCAAGACGGAAACGGTAACAGAAACGGCCCTGTCTTTGGACGCCCGAAATGGGTACGGAAAGAATGGGCACAATGCCCAACAGCAAATGTTGTCCCGAACCAACAGCGGCCGCTGTTGGGCAGGCGGCCTTCTGTCTCAAATGAACACAGGCCGCGGCGGCGTGGACAGCGAATCCTGTTCGAAATGAACAGGAACTGCTGTTGGGCATCGTACCCGTTCTTTCCGTGCCCATGTCGGGCGTCCAGACTGTCGCTCCCAGGGCCCACCTCGAAGTGCACCCTGCCCGTTGCTGCCTCCCGCCCTCTGCGGCCTCCGCTCCTGGCAGGGGCCGGGGCGCGTGCTCCCCGGAAGAGCAGCCACCACCGGCTGGCCAGAGGGGGTGGGAGGTGCGGAGGACAGCCGGCGCGAGCCAAGGCCCTCCGAAAGAAGGGGTACGATGCCCAACAGCGGATCTTGTTCGTTTTGAACAGGACTCGCTGTCCACGCCGCCGCGGCCTGTGTCCATTCGAGTCCGAAGGCCGCCTGCCCAACAGCGGCCGCTGTTGGTTCGGGACAACATTTGCTGTTGGGCATTGTACCCTTTCTTTCCGTGCCCATTTCGGGCGTTCGAAAATCCAAAAACGAGGGGGGGAAGTGGGAAGGAGGAGGCCTTCGCGCGAAGGAAAAAACAGCTCCGCGCGGATGTCTTGGATCGGCGCCTGGGGCCTCCTCGGCGGCGCCTCCGGCGCCGCTCCTGGCGCGCTCCAGGCGCCAGGGAGGGGGGCCTGCGCGGATCCACGAAATGCGCGCGGAGCGCCAAAAGTTTGTGTATATGCAGTGTTTTTCTTCTTCTATTCTCAGGAGGCTCGGGAGTCCTCCAGCCTCCTGAGAATTTGTCTCAAGCCTTCCCCGAAGACGCAGAAGAAGACTTCGCGGATGGCGCGAGGGCTTCTGAGAAGTCCTGCCGCCTTCTGCGAGGACCTTCTCCTTCTTACTCCCTTCCATCGCTCGCCGCCGACCGGGGACTCTCGCCAGGCCTCGAGACCGTCAACAAACGACTCAGGTTGAAAAGCCGGTCCTTGGGAATGGGTCGAGACCTCCTGGGGGGTAGACGTTATGAAGAAGTCATGACGTCTGGCGTTATGCAGCTGGGGGCCGAAGGGAGAGGCGTGGGCTCGTGTGGGGCTGGCTGCCTCACCACCCCGGAGGCTCTGGCCCGGCGACCTCTCACAAGATCGCACCGCATCGCCGATGCATCGACGATGCGGCTCAGTGCGGAGCCCGATGTTCTCCACGCCGACGTCGCCGATGCATCGTCGACGTCGCCAGTGCATGGGCGATGCCTGGCCGATGCATCGCCGATGCATCGTCGATGTATCGGCGAGTGAGATCCTCCGAACACGTCTACTCGGACCCCATCCAGGAGGCCTCTATCATCATCGGGGGGGATGGGGCGCGCGCTGGGCTGCCGCCTACGTCAAGCAGGGGCGAACCGTGTCCTGGTTGGCCTGCAGGCTCACCAGAGAATGTTCTATGAACTTGCTTGGTTGCCTGCACGAGGTGTTCTCGGATCCTTTCTTAGATCATTTCCGGCTGAGGTGTCTTGTTTCAACGCCTCGGGCTTGTGTTCTAAGGACCTTGCTCTTGCTTTCAGTCAAGGGCAGGAAAAACGCACCTGTCCTGGTTTACGAGGCGCTGTGCGCTGAAACTTCCGTGGGCTGACAGGGCAAACCCTGCGTGATGCGCCGCGTCCTGGCGGCTCTAGGCTTTGGGGGTTCCCAGGAGGTTTACAGACCACGCACTTATAACCCAGGGTAGGGTCGTTTTTTTCATCCCTCAATTTAAGAGCATTCGTGGGTTCTAAGAACATGTCGCGTCAGGCCTCTGGGAATGCCGGGACCGTCGGCCCCTGCGCAGCTGTGGGGCGCGGCCGGTGCGCTGGCGCACCTCCGCGAGCGGAGGCGGGTGCGCCCCGCTGGGCACGTGGTCTGGCCAGGAGCTCGGGGCGGGCACGGCCCCTGGGCGCAGCCTGGGCTTACCAGCCTCGAGCGTATCCCTATCCCTAAGATTGACACGCCACAAGGCGATGACAATCCTAGGGATTCGCCCTCAAGAAATCAGGGAATCCTTAAGATTTGCATCGTGATGAGGAGGTGCCCAGCAGAGGGATAGGGATCTGTTCCAGGCTGGTCATTTTCGGAGGGGGACAAAAGGCACCCATACCGCTGCCCTTCACAGACCTCCTCGCGCTGTGACAACAGAATCACGACGGGCGGCTTTTCGCTAGTTTCGGCCGTCGGCGGGCCTCTCCTGGGCCTCGGGGCCGTCAGAGAGACGGCTCGGGATGAAAACCTGGTCCCGGGGAAGGGGTCCAAACCTCTGGGGGTCGACGCTGCGAAAAAAGCCACGACGTCGGGGGTCTGGGTACCGCTGCCCTTCCTCGTTATTCCCTTTGCGGGCCTCCTGGGGGGCCTTCGTCGCCACCGCTGGATTCTCCTCGAAGGCTTGGGGTCAGGACGCGCCCCGGGGGAGGTCTGGGGAGCAGCGGTACAGTGGAAACCCATGCCAAGAAACACCCTGCTTGCCTCCAGGGTGCCCTGGGCTTCTTGGGTAGCGTGACGCTCCCGCACCAGGAATCGGTGGACGCCCTGGGGTCTCGGGGTTGGGCTTATCCTGGAGGGTTTCCTGTGGTCGAGCTCCTGCAGTATCGGTTCCCTGTGGTCCCCCCCCACCTGCCCAGCGCGCGAGGACGCGAGCTACGCCATCAAGAAGGGGAGGGTGCAGCACCTGAACCCCGAGGCGGCGTTCATGCCGCCCGGCAAGGCGGGGCGGCCACCCGCCCCCTTGCGCTGCGCCCCCCTGTTTGTCTGGTCTGTGCAGTGATCGGGGGTGGACAGATACCCCAACAGTGACACGTCGATTAGTGAGTTGTCCGTTTTCGGTTCTCGAGATGGCGCCGTGGCCGTTATTTTCCAGGCTTGCGCCCGCCAGGTTTGGGCCTCAGGTCGTTTTCACCAAACCACGTTTTACTAAAGGGGGGTCTGTCCATCCCAGAAGTGACTGGGGGAGGCGGGCCGTCGCCCCATCCCAACATCATAGGGGGGGTGCGGAGGCCCTGGCGACGGGAAGGGGTGGGCACGAGCGGGCAGCACAGCCGGCTCAGACATCAAGAGAGGCGTCATAGCCTCAACATCGACATTCTGGGATTGATCCACTCACAGATCCAATTCTAATGATTGCACCATTGACTTCATTCCATGCGCAGCATGCTTTCCCCTCTCGTTGTGAAACAATCGCGACGGGAGGTTTTGTTGCCAGTTTCGGCCTCCGAGGGGGCTCTCGCCGGGCATCGGGACCGACAACAAAAACGACTCAGGATGAGAAACGGGTCCTGGGGAAATGGTCGAGGCCTCTGAGGGACGACGTTATGAAACAATCATGACCTCGGGGGTCCGGGTCAGTCGCGGCCAGGCGCTCATATTGAACACTACTATCTGGAAACATTGATGGAATTACTACGATCTGAATGGGAACTCCATCGGAAATCACATTTGATGAGCTTGCAGAGGTGCGGCACCAGGCCTTGTCGCCCAGGCGGGGCCCCAGGCGGGGCCCCTCGCAGATCGATCTCTGGCTCGACACGTGCCGCAGGAGGCCGACGCCAGAAGGACGCCATGGGCACAAGCTCGTGGCGCTCCGCGCGGACTTCCTGGATGGCGCTGCTGCGTCTTCTGCACACGAGGGAGGCCCCCCGGACATCAGGCGTTCCGATCTTCTCAGTGCGCGGCTCAGGAGGGGAAAAAACACAGACACAATGAATCGCCGATTCCCCAGAACATGTGGGGAAATATTGGCATTCGGGGGGGGAGACAAACACCTAGAAATGCGGGAACATATGGCAATCCTGTTATCTGTGTGTCTTTATTTGTGTGGCCCAGGGCCCCTTCAGTGGCCCCCCCCTCTGGATCCCTCGACCCCCTGCCCCAGGGCCCCGGCCTCTCGTCCCCCCGTCGCTGTGTTGACGGCCGTCGCCGTTTCGCTGCCTCCGTCTCGTTGTCGTCTCGCCGCCGCCGCCGCCGCCGCCGCCGCCGCCGCCGCCGCCGTCGTCGTCGTCGTCGTCGTCGTCGTCGTCGTCGTCGTCGTCGTCGTCGTCGTCGTCGTCGTCGTCGTCCCGCCCGCCCGACCCGACCCGCCCATTAGGGTCAGCCCGCCTGGCCCGACCCGCCCGTTGCGGTTCACGCGTGCTCGCTCTTGTATGTGGACTAGCCAGAGGCAGATCATGACGGCAAGCCGTCCGCCTTGATTTTTTCGAGGATCGGGGCTCAAGAGACGGGGGTCAATGCAAACGAGCGTCAGTCAGAGCGCCAGACCGTGCAGGATCACGCAGGGCCAGGGGCGCACTGACCCGGGTTTGGGCGCAGGATCCTGCAGGATCTTGCAGAGCCTGGTCCAGAGTGACCCAGGTCAGCAGATCCCCGCGTCTTTTGACGGTCCCGAGGCCCGGAATGGACTCCAGAGGCACATGATAACGGCAATTGGCCGCCTTGTTGAGGGGCCAGATATTTGGGTTTAGAGCTCTGGCTTCAGGAGGGGAAAAACACACAGACACAATTAATCGTCGATCCCCCAGAAAATATGGGAAAACATGGGAAATGGGGGGAAGACAAAAACCCAGAAACTATGGGAACATATGGGGAATATTTTTATTTGTGTGTATTGATTTGTGTGTCCCAGGGCCCCTTCAAAGTCGTGCTTCCTCGCGGCGGTGTTTTTTTTGTCTCGCGGCGGCGGCCCCATGAGGCCACCGAGAGCCTGTGACGGCCGCTCGTGGAGGGAGCCGATGCGAGGGTTATGTCGGGCGTGTCCCCCTACAGGGGGATTTTCAACGAAAATGAAAAAATACATCCAAAATACCCCGAAACATAGTCCCCAGACTATTTTTGGAGTATTTTTTTTGTATTTTTCATTTGTCCCCAGAGTCTAAGATCGATGCCGAGTCTAAGATCGATGCCGAGTCTAGATGCCCAGACCCCCGACGTCGTGTGTTTTTGCAGCATCGACCCCCAGAGGTCTGGACCCCTTCCCCGGGACCGTTTTCTCATCCCGAGTCGTTTCCTGGCGGCCCCGAGGCCCGGGCGAGGGCACCCGGAGGCCGAAGTGAGCGCAGCGCCTCCCGTCGCGATTCCTGCACCGCGCGAGGGGGTCGGGGTGGGATGCCCCCCCTGTCGGCGTCGCCCCAACATGCTACAGTGGGGGCGCGTGCCAAGAAACCAGTTGGATTTTGCCAGGGTGCCCTGGGTTTCTTGGATCCTGATGGGCTCCCAATCAGACCTTGACGATTTTCGATCGACACATGTGGATTTTCACCGAACGAATCGCGTATTTCAGGGTTGGGTTTCTTGCGGAGGTTTCTTGTGGCCGAGCCCCCACTATAGTGCCAGGTGTGCGTCGCCCCCCCCCCCCCAAGGGCCAGTGGGCGACGCGCGCACCTGGAACTCCTATAGTACGCGCTCCGTGGGGGGCGCTTGCCGGCCATGCCGCTGTGGAAACGAGCTGCGACAAGAGTCAAGGGCATGAAAAACGCCCCTACCCTGGTTTACGAGGCGCTGTGCGCTGAAACTCCTGTGGGCTGACAGGGTGAACCCTGCGTGATGTGCCGCGTCCTGGCGACTCTAGGCTTTGGGGGTTCCCAGGAGGTTTACAGACCACGTGCTTGTAACCCAGGGTAGGGTCGTTCCTTCATCCCTCAACAGAGAGGCAGACTGTATGCCCAGGCCGGCAAGGGTATGCTACAAGATGGCTATACGACAGTTTTGGGTCGGGCGCACCGCCTCCAAGGAGGACACACAGTACGTACTCGTACGTGGGGCGTTCCGACACGGGCCTTACCTTCGAGGGCCGAGGGAGTTGCCATCCCTTCCGCGGCGGACGGCGGCGGAAGGTCGACGGAAGGCGGCAAAAGCAGAACGAGGCCGCCTCCGCCGGCGGACGCCGGCGGAAGTGCCACTCCCACAGGGGTGGGGGCGGAGCCGTCCCCGCAAGTGCCACTCCCACAGGGGTGGGGGTGCGCGGGAGCGGGGTTGAGGCCAGTCGGGCCTGCCGCTCCGCACCCGCTGTCCGTTCCAGGGCCTCGCTTCCGATTTTGAAACGCGCCGCGTCGTTTTCACGGTAGTGCTGGTGCCCCGGCTAAATTTCCGAAGCGAAGCGTTTTTCGGGAATACAAGCCCGAGTTACCCCGGGCCCGAGTTACCCCGGATAGTCCTTGTGCGTCCCGTCGCGTGCCACGGCCCCAGCAGCGAGTGCGCCAGCGCGGCACGGCGTGCCGCGCCCCGCCATGGCCGCGGCGCCCGCCGCCGGGGCGCCCCCGCGGGCACGCCCCCGTCGCGCGCATGGCGGCCGGGCCCGGCGCGCACGACGGCCTGCAGCGCACCGAGAGCGGGGCGACGCCCGGCTCGGAGGAGAGCGGCCGTCGGGGAGCAGGAGGAGGTTGGCCTCGGAGGAGGAGGAGGTGGTCTCGGAGTTGAGGAGGAGGAGGAGGAGGAGGAGGAGGAGGAGGAGGGGGAGGAGGGGGAGGAGGAGGAGGCGGAGGAGGCGGAGGAGGAGGAGGAGGAGGAGGAGGCGGAGGAGGTGGTCTCGGAGTCCCCCCGGGTCTCGTGGTCTCGGAGGAGGTCGGCCGTCCCAGACCCCGCCGCGCTGTGAAGAGACCGCGACGGGAGGCTTTTTTCTTTTGCCATTGTCGGCCTCTCGGGGGCCAATGCCGGGCCCTGGGGCCGTCAACAAACGGCTCGGGAGGAAGAGGAGGAGGAGGAGGAGAAGGAGGAAGAGGAGGAGGAGGAGGAGGAGAAGGATGATGATGATGATGATGATGATGATGATGATGATGATGATGATGAGGAGGAGGAGGAGTTTGAAAAACCGGTCATGGGGAAAGGGTCCAGACCTCTGGGGGTCGACGCTGCGAAAGAATCAGGACCCCGGGGGGGATGGGGTCTCGGAGTCCTCCTGGGCCTTAGTGGTCTCGGATGAAGAGGGTCGGGGAAACGTAAGACTCGAGTGCGCCAGAACTCGGGCTTGCCGACTCTCTTGGACGGTCGCGTCCTGGGCTTTGACGGTCCACTGTTCGTGGGATGTTTGAAGCGGGAGTTCGCATCAAATTTCAGGTTTGGTCATCTTCCTGATGAATGCTGCCAGGTCAAACCGAGTCACCCAGTCCCGGGTCGAACGTCTCCCCGAGAGGTGATGGCCCCGGCGTTCAGGAGGAGGAGGAGGAGAAGGAGGAGGCGGAGGAGGAAGAGGAGGAGGAGGAGGAGGAGGAGGAGGAGGAGGCGGAAGAGGATGAAAAGCCGGTCCTGGGGAAGGGGTCCAGACCTCTAGGGGTCGACGCTGCGACACAAATCAGGGCCCCGGGGGGATGGGGTCTCGGAGTCCTCCTGGTCCTTAGTGGTCTCGGATGAGGAGGGTCTGGGAAACGTGAGACTCGAGTGCGCCAGAACTCGGGCTTGCCGACTCTCTTGGACGGTCGCGTCCTGGGCTTTGACGGTCCACTGTTCGTGGGATGTTTGAAGCGGGAGTTCGCATCAAATTTCAGGTTTGGTCATCTTCCTGATGAATGCTGCCAGGTCAATCGCGACGGTCACCCAGTCCCGGGTCGAACTGTCTCCCCGAGAGGTGATGGCCCCGGCGTTCAGGAGGAGGAGGAGGAGAAGGAGGAGGCGGAGGAGGAGGAGGAAGAGGAGGAGGAGGAGGAGAAGGAAGAGGATGAAAAGCCGGTCCTGGGGAAGGGGTCCGGACCTCTGGGGGTCGACGCTGCGTCACAAATCAGG